GGGGGGGGGACGCGAAGGCCACCGTCGCGAGGCTGAACTTCCTGCCTCGTTGGCCTCCACCAGCCGACCTCTACGCTGAACAAGAGACCTCGAGCGATCCTCCCTCCTGGGCCTCCCGAAGTGCTAGGTCAGCTCACAGATTTGGTGACGCCGGTCCTAAGTGTCACCGTGACAACATCGTTCAATTGAATTAGCATGAAAGTAGCTGTTTGTGCGAGCGATAGGTTCAATGCCACCGACGGGGCGACAAAGGTGACTGTCTTTAAAATCTGGCACGGAGTGAGATGTGGCCGAGGCAGCCACACAGGGCTGCGGAGGAGGTTTTCTGGAAACGCCGAAACATTGTGCGCTCGGGCTGCTTTGCAAATCTGGCTTCGCTTTGCAAAGACCCCGAAACTGCGAGCGGTGCGCTGTGTCAGGGAGGGACCAGGGAGTTGACAGGTGACAGGGGGCTCAGGGGTGCGGTCGGTGGGCTCGCACTGGAAGGGAAGGTGGCCTGGAAGAGAATCTTCCAGCAGCGAGTGACACGGAGCACAGCTGCGGGCCCTGCGGGCAGGACTCGAGCCAAGAGCAGCCCGTCGGTGCTCAGAAACGCACGACAAAATTCAGGCCACTCGCCGAGGTCTGCGCCAGGAAACGTAGCTGGAGAACGACACGCCCACGGGACTCGTGAGGACACGCGGACCCAGAGGTGGCCAAGAGCAGGAGCGACGACGCACAAAGGGAAGTCCGCCGCGCATGGATAGAGAGGCCAAAAGGATGGCGGCGGCCACCCAAGGGGATGTCCCTGGAACTTGGAACTTGAAAAGATATAAATTCTGGCCGGGCGCGGAGGCTCACGCCTGTCATCCCAGCCCTCTGGGAGGCCGAGGCGGGAGGATCGCTCGAGGTCAGGAGTTCGAGACCAGCCGGGGCAACAGAGCGAGACCCCATCTCTACTAAAAAAATAGAAAGAAATTGGCCGGACAACTAAAAATATATAGAAAAAATTAGCCGGGCATTGAGGCGCATGCCTGTAGTTCCAGCTACTCGGGAGGCTGAGGCGGGAGGATCGCTCGAGGTCGGGAGTTCGAGACCAGCCTGAGCAAGAGCGAGACCCCGTCTCTATTTTTAATGAATAAAATTTTAAAAAAAATCATTATGCTAAGTGAATTAATCCACATACACAAGGCCGAATATTACGCAATTCTACTTACATAAAGTACCTAGAATAGGCAAATTTATAAAGACAAAAAAGCAGAATATAGAGGTTCTCAGGGGCTGCGGGGAGAAGGGGAGAAGGGGGGGTCACTGCTTAGTGGCTGGAGAGCGCATGTTGGGGTTCACCAAGAAGTTTCGGGTATAGATGGGGGGATGGGCACACAGCACTGTAAACGTT